CAATTTATTGTGAGAAAAGAGATCGTGCTAGTTGCTAACGAATTTCATGGGTAGGAGAATGTATAAACGTAAGATATTATATCTAATTTTTACGTTTTCAATCTACATGTCAAATATTATTCAATTGATTCCTTTTCCTTTTCCTTTCTTTATATCTTCCTTATTATATGTAGGAATCACTTCTTTTAATGCGGCAATCAAATCTTCATTAATCGTAAATTCTTTAGGATCAAATTCCTCACGACATTGTACACACTTCCGTCCAAATATTTGAACAGACTGCGCAAGACAATCAAAGCAGTAATTATGTGTGCAAGGAGTCGTAACAGGCTTTTGAACTATTTCAATACAAACAGGACATTTAAATTCTTCCTCGATGATGGAGATGAAATCTGCCAATGTCGAAAAATCTTTTCCCATTACAACCTCCCATGCACGTGCATTCTTAGTATCTTTCTTGACGAGATTCATAAATGTCCCTGACGGTTTGAAAGCTTTCACCTTCGTCTTCTTGGATGGAGATCCACCTTCTTCTGATTTACGCTTTTTCGTTTCATCCTTCAACTCCTCTGGCACGTACATCGTTAATCCAAGTTCGGCAATACGTTTTTTCCCTTCCTCCGTCCAAGGCGCAGGCTCGTCGTCATCACGTCGCATTTCATAACGCCATACGATGAACCCAGCTTTACCTTTTTCGGGCCAGTATCTAACAACTTTATATAAGCCGTCGTATCTTATTCCTTCTTTTGGTGCAAATTTCGAATTATGCTTCTTTAATTTTTCAGTTCGACATACTCTAATGGGTTTTCCTTTCCTCCAATCTTTGGCCTTCACTCCTTTTTTATTATCAACCTTCGCATCACAACACAGCGCGAGAGCCAAGTTGGTTTTAGTAAGCTCTTGGTCTGAAGTTTGATCGGCTGTACGCTTATTGCCTGTTTTAAGATCCCTACCACCAGATCCAGTATAAACAAAATCGAATCCATTATCCACGTCTTCGGGGTAACCGCCACTAAGTACAATCGATACTGCTCCAACGGTGCTTTTACCCGCAATTCCAGCGACGGGGGGACGATGAACCCCAGCCTCTGAACAGTTAATTCTATATTTCCACGATGACCCTACCGGGATGCCAGGAATGGCCCCAAAGTAGTCGGGATCCACGATTTCGCACCTCTTAGAGAGACCAACGCATGCCATTCCACCACCCCAAGCCTTGGTTTGAAATGCGGATGGCATTTTAGATTTTTTAGATTTTTTAAGGTCCAACCCTTGACCCGCTAGGATAACATCTTTGTCTTGGTGCTTACAGCCTTCGCAATACCAATATTCTTCCTCCGGCAATTTTTCGAGAGGAGGATTCAAGCAACTAAAATGGAAGTAATATTGACATTCATCGCACACAATTGTGTGTTCTTCGTCATCTTTTCCCCCACAAATATTACATCCACAATTTTTACATTTTTTACGAGAATTATTGTTACACTCTTCACAAACATAACCCTCTTCAGCCTCATTGTGAGAATCTTGCATAAGACTGTCGGAAGTTGGTGCGACAGTTTCTGTCGGTTCTGCAGGTTCTGTAGGTTCTGCGGGTTTTGCTTCTATGGTTTGTTCGGAGGGTGTAGACACCATGACAGATACGGCGGGTTGCTCAAAGACACTACTTGCTCTTTTGAACAATTGGACGATGTTGGTATTCTTTATGTTGTAATGAAAAAGTGTGTAGCCATCTTCAAGTTGTTTTCCGCCAAATATTAACCTTTGATATTCTGGTTTATACTCTTTTCCAAAATGCTTAACAATAGCCTCTCTAATAACCTTTATGTCATCAGTGGGACCACATTGAATCTTTAATTTATCGTTAGTTTCAGCTGGGGTAACAATGTATATGAACATTTT